CTAAAATTTGTGAAACAGCACTGTTTCGAGGCCCTGGGTTCAAATTCCACTCTTATCAATCAATACTTGTGTGATGTTGAGCAAGTCACTCAGCCTCTCTGGGACTCAGATTGCTTCATCTGAACAATTAGGGAGTTGGAGTAAATAGCCTCTAAGGTCCTTTCCAGCTCTGTTTCTATGATCCTATTTGATTCTATTGTCACTAGCATCATTGGCAACTAATGAATTTAAATGGAAATACTTGAAAAATCTTGAATTCTGCTTATAATTTTTATCATAAAAATAAAGTCATGCTACCTGCTAGATTGCTAATTGACTGATGGTGAAATTGTAATGATTATATGAGCTTAATGGTATTCATTGTTTCTTCCTACAGATTCCTAATCACCAAACTGTTGTTCAATAGACTGAACTTTCAAAATGCTGTGTTGCACCTTCTCAAACAATGGACTTTAAGAGATCCTGGGATCATCCTTTTCCTCCCTCTAGTCTTCTGCTTAACTAAATGTGGATTCTAAAATATGACTTGCCTTAAGAAAATGCAACTTAAAACCAGACTCAGTACTCAGCCTCTATGGAACAAGAAGACATCTTTCAAGGCTATAAAGGATTACTTTTAGTCGACAGTTGAACAAGAAAAAGCATCTGCTTGCTTCAGTCAGAAAGATGTTTGCTGTAATGTTGATTACAGGGTAATTATGCTGCCCCTGCTATTGGCAGCCCCATGAAACAGCATTTTGTAATGAGGACATCTCTGGATGAGCTGTGAATTGCATCAAAAGCATTTTCATGCATGTGAGGGACAGAAAAACTGTGGGATTAGCAAAAAAAAAAAAAACTCCCCTAACTTACCTTCATTTAAAAATGGATGAGGTAGGATGGGAGAATGTTTCTACGGGTGGGGAGGAAGGCTGGTAGATCCACGTAACATGTCTGGAGAAAGCATGGAGGAACTGTTACAGTTCGGTAATGAATTTTTTTTAAAAAGTGAATGAAAAAACTATTACTGGACTTCAGGATACTGTCCAATAGTATTAGCTGGTTAACCCTTACCAATAGACATTTACGTGGAAGGGAAGGGAGGGAAGAATTGGCACAATGGATTCCCAGCCCTCCCCATCGCCATCACCTTTAAAGTCCCAAATTGGCAGTCACAATTAACTGGTGGAAGGCAATGCTCTGTCATTGCTTGGTGAAATAATGATGATCTGTTTTATTCCAGATGTAGCTTTTGCAGATGTAGCAAAAAAGTAGGAAGACCTACCATCTCAGTGAGCACATGTGTTGTCCTTCAAGGAACAGGCAACTGTGCTTATATTTTATGGTTAGAAAGGCACAAAAATTATTAGCAACCTAAATAGACATTCCTTTTTATCTTTTTTTTTTATTAATGTCATGGACTTCTTTAACTCTCTTTCTTGGATTGTAGATTTAAAAAAAAAAACCCTTTAAAATGTAACATATTTATTTTTTACCTCTCCTGGATAACCTATGACTGAAGGACTATTCAAGAAACAAGGAACAAGCGTTAGAGACTATCCATAGAATCATTGTTACGAGTCTTCATGACTGTAAGATTGTAAATACAGATTATTTATTAACTCTGTTCTACCTTGAATTTAGGTTTAGTTTTGAAAGTGCTTGGATCAGATAGTTGAGATTTATCAACTACAAAAGAGTAAATGTCCCCTAAGAATGTGGCTCAAGGAGAAGCAGTGAGTGGGGTGTTCTTTCAGTTAGTGAGTGTGAGTGATTGGATTTTCTGGTCTTGTTTTTGTTTTTGTTTTTGTCTTTGGGCAGTTTGGTTGGCTGTAGATTAGTGGCTTGACTTTCAGATGACTAAGAATGCCAAGAGGCCTTTACATACTGTCTATCCCGATCTCTTGTGTCTGTTGCCAGGGAGAGGGAAAACCATTTATACCTGTTACCTTTCATTTTTCCAAAAGAGAAAAAAAAATGACAAAGGTGAAACTTATGTACAAATATTACCTCATTTGTTGTGTGACTGAGATAAGAACCTTCGGATCAAGTGGAAAGAGTTTTAATGTCTAACAAACTTTTAAATCTACTGTAGTACTAAAAGCATTCAATGTTGTACATAGTATAAAAAAAGAAACTTTGCAGAAAAATGTATTCCCTGTAAGAAAATGGCATCAAAATGTTAAATACAATTTCTAACGTTGTTATGTTTTTCTGTCATCCTGTATACCATTGCTTTATTTTTATAAATTATTTTTCTCATTGCCATTGGAATAGATATCTCATATTGTGTAGATATGCTATTTAAATAATTTATCAGGAAATGCTACCTGTAGAGTTAGTGTTTCTATTTTTATAAAATGTTTGCACACTGAATTGAAGAATTTTTTTTTTTTTGCTTTTTACTCCCTCCCAGCCAGGTTTGTACTATTTGCATATATTCTTTTTCTAAGAATGTTTTTTTGGTACACATTTTTATCCATTTTACAGTTTAACGCAGTGTAAGTTGTACAGTTTCTTACATATGAGGAACATCAATAAATCAATATGGAAATTTATATACACCTACTGATTCTCATTTCATTTGTTCTCTATGAGCTTTACTTTATGAAACATTAGTAGATTCTATACCTAATGAAACACAGCACACATAGTATTTAACTATATCCTCTAATTTTTTTTTTCAAAAGACTGTTATGGAACCTGAGTTGTCTAATTCTAGAATACACTTATTCAGCCTGCAACTTTAAGAATATTTCAATATTTCAAAAATATGACATCCAAGACATCACTCACAGAGAATAACATTTTGTCACATCAAATGCCATTTATTTAGGTTTTAAGATCAATGATGTTGCAAAAAGAGATCAAGAGAGAGATGAAGGAAGGAAAGAAGGAAGAGAAAGTAAGGAAGAGAGAGAAAGTGTGAGAGAGAGAGAGAGAGAGAAAGAGTCGTACAGTCAAGTCACAAAATTACCCAAATCAATAGCCTTGGGTTGGTACAAAGGCTGAGTGCTAGGTAAAGATTTTCAAAGCATGTAGACAACTGAGTTAACTATGGTTTGAAAAGTCAAGCCAAGTAAAATAGAACACCCATTTAGAACAGAGCTTCTCAACCTGAGTCAAGGGATTCAGGTTCTTGTATAAAAAAATGCATCTCTATTTGCATAACATCTAATTGTTCAATTATTTTAAAACATTCTAAGGAGACCACAGGCTTTACTTAGTGTAAAGGGTCCATCACACACACACACACACACACACACACACACACACATACGCACGCATGCACACAAACATGCATGGCAGTTTGCACTAAGAACTCCTGCTTTAGAAAGCATGAACAAAAAACCCAGTCAAAACCAGATGAAGAGAAGAAGTCCAGAGCATTTAGAGCATCCAAAGACAAGCAAATAAGGGACCTAATGAATTACTCTGCTCCAAATTCTAAGGTGTAACTAGAGCCATACCCAACCAAGTACACATATTTTGGCAGATCACATCTAATCATATAGAATATTTACTGCAACAGTCTAGTTTCATCTCAACAGTGCAGAGCTGAAGAGGAGATATCAGAAGCAGCAGTGGTGCTGTGCTGTCCAAGAATCTCAGGTGAGGTGTTCTTTAAGGAAACAGTCCCTTGAGCTCAACACACCATTCAGCCTAAAGACAGAGGGAGATGCAATCGGTTCCAGTGGCTCCCTAGCTGAGCAGGCTAAATCAAGGATCTCTTTCTCTAGTCATTCCCCATGTTTCTCTCTAAAATGCTGCTAAACTTTGCTTTGAGATCAGCAGATTTCATGAAAATATATACCTTGTTAAAAATGGAAACATCATCACTGAGGTGTTAGCTTTTTCATATGACAAGAGTTTATTGTGTGTATTTCTGGAATGGGATATATTAGTGGGCAATAAACCAAGTCCCATAGGCTTTTATAATGAAGGTGGTACCAGCTACTTTTTTTATGATCCTATGAAGAGCCATAAATAGAAAAGCTCACCTTTACTACTCCTAATTTCACCACCAACAATAATTTTTCTTTCCACATCAGTGCCTGGGCACCTTATTCTAGGGCAAATACTTGGGCTCAAAGAGAACCTTAACATAGAAACAAAAGCATCTTTTTTTTCTCTCCCTGAGGCTGGAAGACATTTTATTTTTTAATAGAGTTCACATTGAAGTGCAATGCAAAAGTACCTTCTTTGACCCGCTAAAGAATTACACTTGGCTCACTGATAAGGAGGAATGGTCTTAGCACTTTTAATGGCATTGGAACATGATGTCTTTAGTGTAAGAAATTCTCATATGGGGATGCTCCATCTTCCAATGCTGGGTACATACCTTCTAGGCAACTCTAGTTTGGGAGACTTAACCTAGGGTCACACAGCCACTATGTGTCAGAAGCAAGACCTAAACCTAAGTCTTTTGGGTTTCAAGGCCCACTCTCTATCTGCTGTGTTACACTGATTCTCATTTTCAAAGTGTGATGAATTTTAAAATCATTTCTGCTTTACCTTTCTTCTCCACAACTCCTGTAACAAAAAGGAGTTATGCAAAATCTCTGTATGTAAAATCTAGTTTGCAAAACCAAATGTGTTTTAAGGATATACAGGTGTTGTGGCTCCAGTCTAGAAATACTTCTATTTTCTTAAGCCTTTAATTATACCTAAGATCATCACTAAAGACAGATTTCAATCAGGAAACTACAGTAGAAAGAAACTTCATGTGGGAGACAGAAAGATAAGGAAAATATTAGTGAAGCTGAGATCTTCTGTAAGGGTAATGAATAATCAGGACACAAACAGATAAATCTAGCTCTTCTCAGGCCTTACTTTTAACCCTAACTCATATTAATTTTGCTGATGACAATGTGAATGAATGAATGGATGGATGGATGGATAGGTGGATCCATGGACAGATGGACAAATGAATGAATGAATGAAAAAGCATTTAGTAAGTGATTACTATGTTCCAAGCACTGTGTCCAATACTGTAGATACAAACTCAAAAGAGAAGATATCCCCTGCCCTCAAGGAGCTTACATTCTAACAAAAGAAAAAAACATATTACATAGGAAAGTGGTAGCCAGGGAGACCAGAAAGTTACAGGGATAGTGAGTACTTTGAAAAAAAGTGCGCCTATGACAATTGTCATCTGTTAAGATAACACAAAATAGTGTATCATCATATGTCACACTGAATTTGTCAGGAGGCTCTGAATTCATTGACAGTGACATCTCCTGGCACTAGTATAAAAGACCTCTTGGCATCAGTATAATTTCAGTGACATGGTAGAGCCTTTACATTAGCAAGAGGTGTTTTCATTTTAAACCAGTGTACGGCAAACCATGGAAGATGAGCCTAAATGTGAAATTTGCTTGTCAACAACCTCTTTCAAAAATTGCTATGGAATTCATTAAAATGGAGCCAAGTAAAACTGACACAAGCAATCACTAATGGTATCCAATACCAGTCTGTGAAACTTTGCCAGCATGAAACAATAATGTTTCATAGATATTACCCAGAATTTCATTAAAAATGGCATAACAGGTTGTTCATTTCCTGAATCAAAAATGGGATGGGTTCTTACTTTCAAAGCCAATTCAGCCTATATTGTTTTGGCATAAGATATTTTGTTGTGAGTCCAAGTTACTGACTTGTCCCTGTAGTATCTCCCTCTTCTCAAAGTACCACCATAGGAAAAGACTCTGTAACTTTCTGAAAGACTACGAATAAAGATGACAACAAGTCAAATTCCTACTTAATTTAAGTAACTCTGGTGAGGAGGTAGGTCATGATAATCTTACAAAGGGATTGTTCTGTTGTAAAATGAGAGAAGCTACTATGAAAACTTGTAAAAAAAAATCACATGGTACATTTTCTCTTTGTTTTTTTTTCCATCCCTTTAAACTGTACAGACCATAGTGGAGGGGTTGTTTCCTAGGATGTGGAGGAAAAAACAGAACCCCAATAAAATTCAGCAAAACTGACAAGTGCAATGAAGTTGAAATTCACTTAAAATTAAAATATATGAAACAATGGCCACATTTCAAATTCCAGGAAACGAAAGGACGCTGAAAAATTATGTTTGTTCCTACATTCAGCCCATTGGCATGTGTAAAATTAACAATTAGAAAAGGCATCTGTGAACAAATTCACATGCTTGAATTATGAATGTCAAAAAGAGTGAATGAATTAATTTCACAAACAAACGGAGATGAAATGACACCAATACATTCATCACTGAGGGGGGCCTTCACTGAATTCAATGGTTTAGTAAGTCAATCCAATGGAAAAAAACCAGGCCTTTTAACTGGATTAACGAATAGTCTAAAGTAAATCTTAGCAACTTGTTTTCCTTAGGAGTCTTTGACTTCCTCTTCTGTCTTGTCTTCTGTCATTAATTCATCTGTATAAGAAGACAAGATCAGCATTATTAGGCCATGGGAAATATATGCATGAGCAACTAGAGGGGGAAAAAAGAAAATTAATATGAAAAATCACAGAATTTCAGAGTGAGAAAGAACCTTAGAAATCATAGTCTAATCTCTCTTTTTTGACAAATGAAGAAATTGTGTCCTAAAGGTGGGGAAAGACTTAAGGTTACATAATTAGTTCATGGCAGATGCTGAGGTCTAGACTTCCAGCCTAATGCTTTTCCCGCTACCTTTGCACATAAGGAAGTAGATAGAAACAATTTCTAATGATTAGAGCTATCTAAAAGTGTGACAGGCCGCCTTAGGAAGCTATGGGTTTCTCTTCACTAGAAGTCTTGAAGCAGAGGCTGAAAGACCACTTCTCAGGTGTGTTGTAGTGGGGACTCTTTTTCAGGTATGGATTGGAAGAAATGGTCACTTCAAACCTTAAAATTCTGTGATTCTGTAGGTTTGTGAATTCACAAAATTAGCTCAATAATCTAGTAACATTCTCCTTCAATATTTATTAAGGACTACAATGTACTAAGTATTATAAAGCAAAAGAAAGTCACCTGGCCTTTTGTGGCCTCCATTTTAAGCAATGGTTAACAAATATTTTCTGTTTGGTGACTCCAAAGGACTTGATGACTTAAACTTGGGAGTGGGGATCTGGGAAGAAACAATCATGTAGATTCTCAGTGCTATGGGTGACATAAAGGGAACTTAGGAGATTTTGGAACTTGGGACTTAGGGAACTAAACCATTCTCCTAAAAATAAAAGGCAGAGGTGGTGATTTGACTTTTATTTTCTTTATTCTGTATTGTTTCTGGAAAGTGGAGTAGGAACTACAAATCGTATTGGAAGGAAGGGTAGATACGAAGAAATTCCCATTTTCATTTATTTTGTAAAGGGGACATTAAGGAGTTTTCCCACAATTCTTTCATAAAGTATGAAGGCTACTCTGATTGGGTCAAAAAGGAGTAACATGTCTGTGAGAACAAACACATTTACCATGCCCCTGGGGGTTTAAAATAGTCACATCTTGGAAAGATGAGGACAGTCCAAATGAAAAGCCAGAAGTAGAGCAAGAACCCAGACCCTTTTAGGGAATTGCACTTTGGAGGGAAGAGAGGAATTTTTTCTCTTCTCCCTCCCCATAAGCCATTTCACTTTGAAGGGGGAACTACTTGACCATTAAGAGCTTAATGAATGAAAAGGTATGGATTAAGAATCTACTGTGTATGGTCCATGTACTGTGCAAAACAGTAGGAACACATTTTAAAAAGCAAGAGAATCTGTGCCCTAACAATCTAAAGAGGAGGAAAGAACGCATAGGAAAGTGAAAGAAACCTGTGTCTTATAAATTTGTGCAGTAAAATCTTATACCCAGTACTCATTTGATGGAATATACCAACTTACTAACAACAAAGGGCAATGAAATCCCTGTCCTTGACATTCTTAAATCTCTTTTCTATTTGTGAAAAATTCATTCACTCAGCAGGACCTTTGAGACCTATTTCCTTTTCACTGTTTCACTGATACTGCCATATCTGGTACAGAAGCAGCAGGAGAAAGGTGGGGAAAAAGATATGAAGGTGTTAAATCTGATGGCTTTGCTCTGACTTCCTCCTCCACTTACCTCCCTTTTCATACCTTCCTTTTTTCTTTCCCTTTCTTCTTTCCTGTCTTCCTTCCTTCTTTATGCTTAATAAATCCTTTCTTCTTCCTTCTCTCCCTCCCTCCTTCCTTCCTTCCTTCCCTCCTTCCTCCTTTTTCTCCCTCCTTCCTTCTCTCTTTCCTTCCTTTCTCCCTCCTTCCAAAATATATGGTCTCAAGTCACAGAATCTGGGCTCACACAGACCAGGTCTCATCTTGGGTGCTTCAGCCCAAAGGGTCAATTCTTTTCCTTTGGCTCATTGTCTATCTGGATTAATCTAGAAAGATCTCCAAGATTAAAAAGTACAGCTTGTCTCTAGAGTGCCACAAATGTGTGTGGCAGGGTCCCTAAATCTTGCACAGGCACTCAACATCCAATACAGTTATTGAGTATAAGATAGCTTTTCTTTAAAGAGAAAAATGAATATGATACTTAAGAATCACAGGAACCCATAGAAACATTAAGAAACATTAAGCATTAAAATGGACTATCAGTATCTCCCCCTCCTTCCTAGAAAAAAAAATTAGAGATTTCATCAGGGAAATGTATGACTGGAAGACAAGATGGGTTGGACATATAGCAAGAGTGAAGGAGGACCAGTGCACAGCCCTGGTTCTCCACTGGAATCACTGAAATGCCAGGAGAAAGTGAGGAAGGCCTTCAGCACATTGGGGAATTTTTCTATGGGGGAATTTATGGGAAGATATGGTCTCTCAGGACAGATGGGCATTAATGGGTTTAAACTGCATCATGAGAAGAAATATCAAAATCAATGACAAGACAGCTCACTTGAATCAGAGCATGCATGGAATACTGGAATAAGGACAAGAAAGAAAAAAAAAAGACACTGTGCAGCATTGAGAAGCCTCAGAATTAAATAAAGAGAGGGAGTGAAGGGGTATTGACTAAAATATCTCAGAGGAAACAGAGAAAGGACTCACACATAATAACACCTTATTTATAGAAAAATCCCTTTCCTCCTTTCCAAGGTCCCTGTAATTCAGCATGAGAAGAGTGTACTGAGTGATGAGTCATCCCAGAGTATGAAGCTCCATGAATCTGCAGCAGTGAGTACCCAGGTGAGTACAGAGGTGTCACCAGGGTGAATAAACACTGCACAGGGGGCTGGTTGTACTTAGGATTTGTGTATTGTCTTTACGAGTTAACATGGAATTGGGGGAATAAGGATAGTGACTAAATCTGTGTAGGGAACTCCCAAGAGAAGAAACTCCCTCTATGAACACACCTTTGTAACTTAAAGTCTTAAAAAGAACTGACTAAAGTTGTGGTGTCAAACTCAAATAGAAACTCAGGCCACTAAACCCCACCTAAGGATAAGGATTCCTACTAACCACTTAGAAAAACACATACTAATATTATTTAATATATACTATGTATAAGTATATGTGATAACATATACTATTATATATAATATAATAATATCCCATTGTATTTTTATTTATCTTGTTAAATATTCCCTAATTAAATTTTAATCTGACCTAGGGCACATGTTTGATACCTTTGCTTAGAGCACCTCCAGCTTAATTGACTTGCCCAGTGTCAAATAGCCAATACTTGTATAAGACAGACCTTGAACTCAGGTCTTCCGTATTTCAAAGTCAGCTCTCTAACCTTTAGGACACACTGCCTCTAATATGGAAAAGCCTTAAGCCTCAATTTCTTCACCTATAAAATGAAGACAATAATATATGCACTATCAATTTCATGGAGTTGTGAAATAAATGACTAGGCCTCCCTTTCTCACCATGGCTGGAAGTGCAATGGCCACTCATGGGCTAGACCTCATTGTCTCTCATTAACATGGAATTAACTGCTCGTTCATCCCTCCTCAGGCAGCCTGGTGACCCCTCTTCCCTTCCCCCACCATCAGGAGCTCACAATATTGGTGCCAGACTTAGCACAAACATCCCAATGACTTAGTACACTGAAACTCGGAACTCCACAGCTGAAGCAATCTGCTAGCCTCAGCCTTACCAGTAACAGCGATTACCACCTACACCTGGCCTAGGATTAGTTTTGTCCCCTCAAAAATACTGGTAAGACATTTTTATGTAGAGCATATTTTTGTATCAAGCCTCTGATTCACAACTGGGTACCTTCAATAAAGGTGATGAAAAATAAATTGTGCTATAACAATGATACTAAAGGACATGAGGCATTGCTAACATTCATTTGTTTGTTTGTTTTTAAAGGAAAAATACCAAATTCAGTTACTTCGCCATGGATTAGGACTGATATAACTGAGGAACTATTCATTCAGTGCTTATGATGGAATAAACCTGAAAATTAAATATAGTCTGTACATAAGCCACATCTATACTATACCATTACCCACAAATACCAGGGACGATTATAATCACCACTCATTAAGAATATTTATGGCATTAGGAGGTCTGAAGTACCTTTTGAAATAAATGCTCTACCAAGTAAAACTAAATAACTTATTTCATTATCATTCAACTGTGAGGACACACTCTGGCTCAGCCTGTCTTAGTAGTATTTCTACCTAGTAGACAGAGACCAGTATAATTGACACATATATTTACTTCAAAAAATCCAAAATTCATGGCTTCACCAAAGTGAGCATTCTCTCCACCAATGAAGATAGCAATCACACCATGTCTTAGATCAAGGATTTTTAACTTTTTTTTTAATGTCATTGACCCCATTCCACCCCCCAACACCCTTTGGCAGTGTGGTGAAACCTATGGATCCCTTCTCAGAATAATGTCTTTAAATGAATAAAATAAAAATATATAGGATTATAAAGGAAACGATTAAATGTAGTCTGTACATAACACAGATCCCTCTTAAGAATCACAGGAACCCATAGAAACATTAAGAAACATTAAGCATTAAAATGGACTATCAGTATCTCCCCCTCCTTCCTAGAAAAAAAAATAAGAGATTTCATCAGGGAAATGTATGACTGGAAGACAAGATGGGTTGGACATATAGCAAGAGTGAAGAAGGACCGGTGAATAGCCCTGGTTTTCCACTGGAATCATTGAAATGCCAGGAGAAAGTGAGGACGTGATAGGAAACTATTAAAATAAAGATGTAATTTTTCCCATCCAAGTTTATAGGCCTCATAACATCCATGAAACCTAGACCTCAGGTTTAGAACCCGTCTTAAATGATTTTGATGATTTTTCTCAATGCCCCTCATAATTCAACCAGGAGTCATCCTTTTAGAGATAAGTTTCTCTGAAATTAGTTAGGCTGATCCTGAGATGACAGGCATATGATCCATCAACAAGGCAGCATAGTACTGCGGAATGAGAGCTGGATTTGGAGTCAGATGACCTGAGTTC